GGTTTTGGAATTCATTCATTCATTCATTCATTCATTCATTCATACATTCATACATTCATACATTCATACATTCAATTTGTACGGCCGCCCATCTCGGCAAGAGACTCTGGGTAGTGAACAAAATGAAAATAAAGTAAAAACAATTGTAACAATGCAAAAATTACAATCCATAGCAGCCGAGAAAATAAGCCGAGAAATATCATATCCCATAATCACTAACACAACCAAGGAATGGGTCCCTGCACACACTCAGGGCCCTACACTCAGAGCCAGGTCTTTAGGGCTTTACAAAAGGCCAGCAGGGTCGGGACCATTCTAATCTCTGGAAGGAGAATGTTCCATAGGGTGGGTACTACAGCAGAAAAGACATGTCTTCCTTAGCCGATGGGACCTGAAGCATGCCCATCCTGCCCCATGTGAGCAGCACTCCCACTTTTTACAGTGCCCATGTCTTTATCTGAAATCCTTACTTCAGGATTTTCTTTCCTATCACCATAAGTATTCAATTTAAGGCATTCTCAATCAAGCTGTCTTGCTATGGCCAAACACATTTTTACCAGTCCTTCTGAGGTGCAGCCAGTGTTGTATCAGTAGCTCACTGTCTAGATAATTTTGATGGTCGTCCCAGAAACCAAGTCTGTCTTGTTGATCCCATCATGAATCATTGATTTACAGTATTTTTCTTTTCCTTTCTGGTCCTTTTCCATGGACTAGAAGGGAAGAAGAGAATGCTGCCTGAGCCCCCAAGGTCTTGAGTTTCCTTCTGCAACTTTTCAAAGTCTCTAGTAATAAATATGAAGCTATTCTTTGCATTATAATTTGTCTCCACAAGCAGGAAGGTATGATTGTCAGTGGATATGAACATGTTGGAATTAGTTTATCAGAGATCAAGAGTTCTTTGCTCTTGGCAGAGAGCATGGCTCACAAGCAGCATGTGTTTGTTTCAATTCCTCATAGTAATGAGTCACTAACTATCATGACCCTTTATCTTCTTACAGGATAATGTAGCATCCTCTTTACCTTCTCCTTTGATCTTAATTTAGAGGAAAACTTTCTTGGGACTTCCCTGAAACGCCATAAGCAAACTCCTATACCTTCTCCATCTGTGCTTACTCAGTGAGCTAAACTGCTCCTATTCAAAACTGCTCCTATTTCTTCCCTGCTATATATCTTATCTTTTTTTCCTGTGATTCAGATACAGCCTTTCCTAGAAACATTTTCTTGTTTAATAGAAAATGCACTTATAGTTAATTTAATTTAGCAATTTAGTTATATTTTGTAGGTTAATGAAGATTAAAGTGCTGGTAATTATTTTGTCCCCACAAATATCAGCAGTGTTCTCCATGTGCTCCAAATCTTTTTTCATATAATTATACAATCTGCACAAAGTAGGAAAGAAAGCAGTTAATCAAATTTATTCTATATGCAAATAGAGCTTTAGGTAAAGTTTAATTCATTCATTGTATTTATATGCTGCTTTTCCCCCCAAAGAGATAAATAAAACTGGCTATAAAAGTTGATCTGAATTTAATTCCCACTTTTTAAATAAAAATGTATGTGGCTATTAAATAAAAACTATTAGATATTAGATTTGACTTAAATATGTTTGTTTGCTTATCTACAAAGAGAAAGAAAGTGACAGTCTTACAGAAAGTTAAAAGTATATAGTTTCTTCATCCCAGAGTCTCCCCATAGTCTGTAGTATCCTCAAGAAAGCCAATCCCACACTGAGGCTAGGAACAAAAACCTTGCAGGGCCATTTATACCTCAAGATGAGTTACAATTTTTTCTGCCTTTAAGGGAGAGATAGTGGGGACTCCCATAGTGGTGCCAGCTTTCATGAGGACAAAGGCATCTTTAGGTTCTCTTATCTCTTTTATCTTTCTTATTTTTGGATAGTAATCTACTTGCTTTGCTTCCATCTTCTGTGTAGCACATCAAATTCTGTGTAGCAGAAGAAAATTATCCTAGAAGACATGCTCTTGATTCTTCCCTTCCATCATAGAAATATTTGTACAATGATCTCAGGATTCTTATCTACAAGGTTTTCTGTATATCCAAATTACCTGTTGTCTCAGCTCATTAATGTAGAGAAGAGAGGTGAATCACTTAGAATTCCTTGTAGTCTTTAGAATATTTTCTTTAGGAGAGAGGTTGAAAAAAATTCATCAAGTCTTTTGCTGTCATAAATTAATGTAACTTCAATGAGAGCCTCATATTGATGTTTCTTATCTTTTTTAGCTGAGTAGCACTAAACTTTTATTTTGTATTAATGCAGGAAGATATCAAATCACTTACTGCCCATATCGTTGAAAACTTTTATAAAGCACTTGAATCTATTGAATATGTTCAAACATTCAAAGGCTTGAAGACAAAATATGAGCAAGAGAAAGACAGACAGAGCCAGAAACTGAACAGGTACACACCTTAAAACTAAAATCTGAAACCCAATACTAGATAGCCTATCTTGCAGGTTTCCTGAACCATTATTGTTTGTTCTATTAATATTGTGATATGTCCCTTTCTTATAGGTAATATATCATATTTAGTAATACATTTTTATTACCTTAGGAATTTCCATATATAATCCATTTCTGTCTCTAGTCTTTATTCTAGAGATGTTCCAAGCTCAGGGTTTTGTTCTTAGTTAATTTGAAAAATATATTTCAAAATTTCTAAACAACCCAAAAAATCAAATTTATGCTATCAGGAAGAATGTTGTGGTTTGTTCTTGGTTGGGTTCTATTCTATGACTTTCTATGGTGACCTGAGAAATGAATAGCTAAATTACTGAATGGTCCCCATGTATTAATTTTCCCCAGTCATATTAAAGAACTGCATTTTGACAACAACTTTGGGAAAGCTTCTAGGGGCTGTAACCAAGCTTTTGCAAATAGCCTTGGTGTGTCTGCATCCCTGATTCAAGTTAAGATACTCTGGGAGATGGGGTGATGAATCCAGTGACAAATCTGGGAGAAGTTCTTATAGTAGGATTTGTCATGGAAAAGGGAATAGAGATTAACTGGACCACCAAGCACACCAGTGCAAACCTATTAGTAATTATTTTTGTTCCTTGCAGCATTAGGATATCCTCAAAGAGGATATTTGCTTACCATGCTATCTTGGTGGTCCAGCAACCTTTTTGTGCATTTGATTTTTCTCTTATTGTATTAAGAACTTAACTTTCTGTATTACCATAGCATCTGTGATAAGCCATCATTATTTTCATTTTACAGAACTTTGAACTTGTATCTCTAGGATCTAGTGCAGTACTTTAGATATTAAAGCATATTTTCTGAGAATCGTATTTTTGCCAATATTTTGACAGCATAATTTTGCTTATTATTCTCATAAACTATGTACTATCTATAAATCAAAATAAAACACAGGCTCTGTCCTCTTAGAAAGAGAATGAATAGAAAAGATAGCAGTAAGAGAATTTAACAGATCTTGAAATCTTCCCATAATAAAGATAAAATATATCAGGGCTTGATATATTAAATCCAGATTATGTTTAGTATAGAAATTGCTTGTTATGCTTTCACCTGGCCTTTAAGCTCAGAAGGAAACTCATGAAACTCCATGTATCGCCCTCAGCTGCTTAAAAAGAAGCCTAGAGTAACAACAGTGTTAATAAACATATAAAGTCTCAGAATTATTTTCTAGTAACTTTTCCATATTATAGCAACCAAATGTAGTTTGGCTTTATCAGTTTTAACTGCAGTCCCATTATCAAATTGTAAAGGTTTTTGTTTTTTTTGTATATTTTACAGTGTCCCCTCTATACTACGTAGCAATAGGTTTCGTAGAGATGCCAGAACTTTGGAGGAAGATGAAGAAATGTGGTTCAATGAAGATGAGGAGGAAGAAGGTGAAGCTATTGTACCACCTGTAGAGAAATCCAAGTCTGAGGATGATTTTCCAGAAAGTTATGAGAAGTTTATGGAAACAAAAAAAGGTATTTTTCTATTTTGCAGCACATGATAGTCTGTGTGAGCCTACTAAATGGAGCTGAGAGCCAGTTTGGTGTAGTGGTTAAGGCACCAGGCTACAAAACAGGAGACTGTGAGTTCTACTCCCACCTTAGGCACAAAGCCAGCTGGGTGACCTTGGGCAAGTCATTCTCTCTCAGCCTAGGAAGAAGGCAGCAGCAAACCACTTCTGAAAATCTTGGCAAGAAAATTGCAGGAACTAGTCAACATTGATTTGAAGGCACAGAAATCAAACAAACAAACCAATGGAGCTAACAAGTCTTTACAGACATGGCCCCTGTAGATGACATGGAGACAACCTATTCTATTAGATCTTACTGAGTGGGCAAATATTACTGGGAGGAGGAGGTCTTGAGGATATCCAGGCTTGAGAGTATGGTTCATGAAAGGCTTTAAAGGTGACATTCAACAATTTGAATCGAAGCCAAAGGTAACTAACCAGTGTAGCTCTCAAAGTAGAGGTGTTATATGGGAACCTTGGGATGCACCTGTAGGTATTCAAGCTGCTGCATTCTGGACCAACTGTAGTTTCCAAATGATCTTCAAAGGCAGCCCCATGTGGAATGCATTGCAGTAGTTCATCAAGAAATAACAAGGACATGAGTGACAGTAATGCCTCCTGTTCAAGGAAAGATCATAGTTAGTACAAAGGATGCCCATGTATCTTGGACCCGAAATTGTGACCAAGTTCTGTTTGGGGGAGTGCAATCCATTCAGAACTAAAGATGGTATCTCTGGAAACAGCAAGCCTTTGAATCCAGAGCCGCACAAATTTCATAATTTAAATTAAGTTAAATTTCTGAGATTGAGTATAATCCTGTTCTGAACAGCATCCAAGCACCCAGATAGCACTTTGACACCTTAACATGTTTGGCCCGGGATCAAGATGATCCTATCCAGTGTCTTCATGTAGCTGTTAAAGCATCAAGGAAAGTACCGAGTCCTATAGCACCTTACAACTGAGAAGTTTAGGGCTCAATCTCTTTTCCCCCCACACCTTCATCAACTAAAACTATCCCTTCAGGAAGGAAGAAAAACATGATAAAATGGAGCTCCCTTCCCAGCCCTCAGACTTTTCTCAGAAGGATGCCATCCCTCTCTGTTGCTAATTATCAAGTTTGCCAGATATCCAAATCAAAAGAAGACTATTATCTTTTGACTTATCTTCCTTAAGGCAAAAATTAGATAGTGAAAGTATTCTCCTAAGATAGCCAGTCAACTGGCTAAAGAAAAAATACCTTAAGTCTATATATATGGCCAACTGTACATCTGAGTTTGTGGCTAGTGCTTTAGTCATCACTGACATATTTGTGCTCAGATAAGAAGTCAGGTCCTAAATTGACACTCTTGCTTTTAATAATAAAGGTTATTTAATGCCAAAATAGATAATATTTGGGGCAGAATCCAGAAAATGAAGATCGAATGTAAAATGGGAATAGATGTGGCCCAGCAACCCTGCTGTTTTTCATCTTCAAAGCAGGGACTCCGCTAATCATGAAATGCTTTTTTTGGGCATCCAATCTACACCAGATATCTAGAATATTAAAATAAGTCCTTTTAAGAATCATATACAGTATTTCTCCCTTTCAACTCTGCTTTCAGGTTTCATCAAACCCATTTCTTTCTCATTTTTCAAACTATTTGGATCATGTTTTATGGATAAGTGAATCCCTACCACTGAATTCATTTTCCATCTTCTTAATTGACAGTTATTCAAAAAAATCTATCCCTTGTTCTGGAGGAGGAGGTTTTGTTGCTTTTTGTTTAGTAACGTTTACCCAGTCCACAGATGGGGAGAAATTGGAAAGCTTTTCTTGATATTTCACTATTTCAAATAAAGATTGATGAGAGGATAAGCAATATCTGATCTTAGACATCATAAATACTTTTTTGCTTCTCTAGCAGATTCCTAATCATTATTTTGACTGACATTCTGCATCTTCTCAAGCAAAGATTATTTGTTTCCATCAGTGGACTTCACTGAGGTCTATTCTCATTTACTGATACGACCATTATACAGAGAGTACTTCATTTGATGAAATATCAGTAATTTCAGTCCAGAGTACTTTTTTTCATCTTTATCACTGCTTTTCATTTTACCAGATGCTTGATGGCAGTTTAGCAGCACATCTGCTGTTTATCTTAGCTATTGAGTAATGGTCAATTTTCTTCCATTACATTTTTATCACCTTTATCCATCTTGGGCAATTCTTTCTCTGAATTAACAAAAAAATCCTAGCTTAATACATTCCAAGGGCTTCAGAAATGTTGAAGTTGTTGGACTCCAGATTAGGTTCTGTCCTCTTGATAGAACACAGCTGTTCATAGCAGTAGTTTGTAATACAGTCTCAAAGATACTCATTTCAATTATTTCAGCCTGAGGCTAAAGCTGTTTAGATTGCTTTCTTCTCTTTTGCTAAATTAAAAATGTGCTTTCTGTAGCTTTAGTTCTTCTTTTGTCAGATTTAAGGTATTTGTTTTATTTACTTATATATATATATATTAAACCATTGCTATACTACTTCCCATTAAAGGAAATCTTGAAGCAATTTACAGTTGCAGCACATGTATTCACCTTCTTCTCATCTTGCCCAGGTTCATTCGTTGGTCATTTCTCCAGGTACTTCCACTGACTATCACCAGTAGTTACCACGAATATCTTCCATTACTGATACTTCCACATCTATACCACAGAGTTCAGTTAGCTAAAGCTATTTGCTGTCACAAAGACTCTGAGACTTCTAAACCTATGCTCATCACTACACATTTGAAATTAGACCACCTTATGAAAAAAATGTTACATCAGAGAGAAACGAAGTCCACAACATGTTTGAGTTTCTGTGACACTTTGGGATGGATGCATCTCATTCTCAAGCCAGTCTTCTTAGTTGCACACAAATCTGCTCTCACAAATAGATACTGGATCTAAGGATTGCTTTCCATTCCTATAGTTACTTTGTTTTTTGCCACTTCCCATAACTAACACTGATACAACAGGGCAGAAGTGGGTAGCAGTTCCTTGGGAAAGGCCTTTATAGTGGAAGGGCCTGCTTCTTTTTTATGTTCCTTTCTGTTGCATTAATTATGAATGGATTGGTGGAACTGCATTCTGGCAAAGCTGCATGTATGTTAGTGGCCTCATGCAATTTTCTGTTCCATGTCTAGCAAGACTTTCTTAGAAGTATTTTCTATTATTTACCTTGTGAGAATCTTTGGATTAATCTACCAAATTTATTCTTATGAAGGGACAAGTATCTTGGCCAGATACTACATTCCTTCCCATAATCAATGCATCTCAGTCAAGATTTGGTTGTGAGTCTTTTCCAGGTCATTTTGTCACTTGGAAATCTCATATCTTGGATGTTTGAGGATCCATTGCATTTTACTTGACTGGGAAGGTTCTTTTTCATATGATCCAAAGACTTCCTAATTTGGTATCTTAATTACTGTGAAACTCTGCTATGAAAGTGATTTGTCTACAATCACCAACATGTATGCATACATGTATGTACGTACTTGTTCATTCATACAACACAACCTTTGTTCCCTTTGCAAAATCATTGCAGTGGAAACTAATAGGCATACCTCTTGGGTGTTCACAGTTGGATGTGGCATTCAGTGACAACAAATATGAAAGCAGTTGTTTTTCTAGTGGTAATGTATGGCTGTGGAACCTGGATACTGAAAAAGAATAAGAGGGAAAGGATAGGACATCATCAAGTTATAGAAGTGGTTACTAAGAATACAGTGGACTTTAAGAAGAATCAGTCAATCAGTCCTGGACCAAATAAAGGCTGACTGCTTCCTTGATTGGTGATCAGCAGTGAGAAACTCACACACTTTGGATAGATGATGTAAATAGATGATTGACCAGAAAAAAATGACTATGCTTAGCAAGGGTGAGGGAAGTAGAGAAATGGGGAGACAGTAGTCAAGGTAGATGGATGAGACTGCAGAGATTGCCGCAGTGTCCTTGGGAGAATTATGAGTTACTATTAAAACAGGCCAAGATAACATTTGTCCATACAATCAATCCAGGACTTGATTGTGACTAACTTTAGGTGGCTAGAGGAAACCACCAATAGAGAATGCTTGATCTTATCATATCAAGTATAATGTTCCTGTTTTATCAGAAAACTTCTAAGCATGTAGCTAAAATGAAATGCTCCCGTTAATATGCTATTTCTTTAAGAAAACAATGAATAGATTGAATTAATGGATTTCATTTATCTCAGTGACTACTCTAAATATTTTTTTCTTTTAGCAAAAGAAAGTGAAGACAAAGAAAATCTCCCGAAAAGGACTTCAACAGGTGGCTTCAAATTTACATTTTCCCACTCTGCCAGTGCAACTAATGGAGCAAATAGTACAAACAGTAAATCTGTTGCAGCTCAGACACCACCAGCAAGTTCAAATGGTTCTTCTTCCAAGAATGCCAGTTTGACTGCAGCAGTCACAGCCACAAAGGTGAGTTAAACATGTGATACATAGCTTTGCAGTTTAAAACTGTGTTAGTGATATGATAGGAAAATTCCTTCAAACATATTTACCATGTAAGAATCCAGAGCGGTCCTTTGCTCAGAGTGAGTGAAATGAAGCTGTGTATCTTTCTCAGTAGTATTCTCTTACCATATAATATTGATTTACAGCCTGTACAGTTTGCAGCAAAGTCAAAATTTGGTTTGACATTTTGTTGTGCTCTGAATTTATGAGCTCATGAGTTGTCATTTGGAATGATTCTCTTAATATGTTAAAGATGTGGCTGTTCCTCCAGGCATTTGGGTGGGATGGTTAGGTGAGCTCTGCTGATTAATGTTACCTTTTTTTAATTGGGTTTGTGTTTGTGACCTCAGGCATTATGGTTGGATTGTTAAATTGTTTTTAATCCTTGTACACTGCCAGTATCACTTTTGTAAGATGGGCAGCCTTATAAATTGTTTAAATAAATATATAATGTTTTTATTATTAGTCATTTATAAAGTCTGGCCAGATCAGGCAAGCTGAAACACTTAAGATATAATACATGTCAATATTATCTGTGTCACTTAAAGGAAATGCATTATTGGGGGGGTTAACATACTTAATAGAAGTCAAAGATGTGCTATACTGAAGCCATGAAATGGCTACTTTGCTATATTGATATTCATAAGCAGGATTGTCTCTAGTGTTGCATTTTGTACATGCAGAAGAGCAGCTAAGTGTTCATAGGTGCAAGTTACATTTACGTTGTTTTAAATTGTCCCAATTTGAATATAGACCACCTTATTCATGGTAACCAGCATTGCACATGAAGATACCTTAAAGATAAGAGCCCTGCTGAGTGAGGATAAGTTCATCTACACTGTATTAGTTAGCCACAATGACTAACCAATATTTCAAAGCCTCTCCTCAGTATTTTCCCCCAGTATTTTCTATCATGACAATGTTATTTAGTTATCATAGCTACTAATCTCTGAACTCTTCTTGGAAAAACTCTTCTAAAATCAATTCAGTGAGTTATAATTGGCATATATTGTGGAAAACAAAATTTATAAAATGGAAAAATGTCATTGCTATTTGTAAGGTCTTTCTCCATTGGTTCATATGTGACTCTTTATATCCAACAGGGAAGTTTAGTTGGCCTTGTGGATTATCCAGATGATGAAGAGGAAGATGAAGAAGAAGAAACATCCCCAAGAAAAAGACCTCGTCTTGGCTCTTAAAAATGTTGAAACAAACTCTGATTGAGGGTGCTTAAATGCTGTGACTGAACTAAATAGTCTGACTCGGAAAGCGTTCTCCCTGGAAAATACACGAGAATACAAGGAGTAGCAAAAGAAAATCTACTAGAAAGGTTATGTTCTGAGAACATCAGGCTTCCAAAGAACCTAATCTCTTTCTAGTCAAGGAGTCTGCCATTCAGACTGTTAAAATATTAAAACGAAACAGTGGATTAGTAATCAGCACCTGGAATGACAGCTTGCCAGAAAAAAAATGTCATCTTGGGTTCTGTGAGGGGATGGGGATGGGAGAAGTAACATTTTGATATTGCAGAGTTTCCCCAGTTTGTATCAAGCTAGAAGAAACTTGTAAGGCTTCAGTTGCAAACCTAGTAATATAACTTTGTAATGGTGCTGTCCATTGTGTTTTTTTAGCAATTGCCTCTTTTAAATAATGAATTCTCTTTCCATTAAAAAAAATCAGAAATTGGGGACCACTATTTGCACAGTCAGCCAAATTATAGAGGGTTGCACCCTGCTACGTAGTGCATGTTGAGTGGCAAACTATTTTTTTCCCAACTCCATTATTTTGGAAGGAAAAAAAAGAACCTGGGTTCTAAATGTAAGCTGACAAGAAGATATCCAGGAAAACCAATATATAGATGATCAGCTTTCCAGGAAATAAAACCCTCTAGAAACCATCAATAAACCTTGGTACTTGAAATGACAATTGAATTGCAATTACTAGTAGCATTTTACAGAAATAAAGTTGAATGGAATTGCTCCCTGCTAATTTCCAAAAAGGTTTTCCTTGAGCTTTCCGCATTTCACATTAGCAAAAGCAGGAGATGCTGTGAAATGCTACCAGAAACTTTTGAATCTTACTGCATCAAGGATATATGTGATCTGAGGGGCAGAGTTAATATGCAGCACTATAAACCTAGGGGGTTTAGCATAAAGGCTGCTTCTTAACACATTCCATGTATTTAAGCAAATTTCTAAAAGTACATTAGGTGAATTGATGAAGGCAAACATTTTTGACACCTTTTTACTTTCAGAGCAACTGAACTGTAAATATTTTAATGTTAGTTTGGCCATATATGATCTGAGATCATGCACACACACAAAAAAAATCCCTAAATTACAAATTGTGGTAAGAGTGATGCAAATTGAAACCAGCAGTAATCCTCCATTATTAGTCACTCTTACAATATGTTATGGGTCCATTTCTCCTGGAAATTTCATAGTTAGTTTTAATTTTAGCTATTGTTTGCAAAGATGGGCTGTCTGTGTAGATATGAAGTATAGTTTTTCCATGAAACAGAAGTTTATTTTGTATTGAGAAAAAAAAACCACTGTACTTGTTTTACACCATTTGTATACATGTGGTAATACTAATGCTGACCTGTAAAATTCAGGAATTAAAATGTGACCCTGTAATTCCATGATTAATGGTTTTTTATTGTTTTATTGTTGTAAATGGTAAGTTAATTCAGATTTAGAGATGTGGCCATTTTAGTTTATTTTAATGATAGTGATTTGTACAATTTAATCTGAATCAAATCTAGCAGAAAAAGCAGTACTCTTAGATTTGATTCAGTGTGATGTGATGACTGACAATGTGGTCTGAAGGACATATTTCTGCCCTTTAGGGGCTCCAGGCAACCAACAATGGGGCTTTCCTTCTCCCTTTTTCAGTGAAGACTTTGAAGAGAAGTTGTTGCAGAAACAATTTGCTTCATCAGATTTTCTTTGTTGACTTGCCCTTCTTTGTGTACTCTTGGCAAGTCTTTACTCCTCACAGAAGTAACTATTTCCCATAAAGCCCAATAGCGAACCACAGGAAAATAAGGTGTGCCATTTCCTTCAGAGTGATGTTCATCTGGCTTGGATTGAAACTGTTTAATAAGTCACTGGAAAAAAAAGATCCAGTACACATCTGGGTCATTTTCTTTCATCCAATTTAAAGACTACTAAAAACTTTAGAATGTGCAGATTCATTTAAACTTCTATATATGACAAAAAGTTGATTTTTTTTAAGTTCATTGTAAACAATAGGTGACATTTCAGCCAATATCTGAACACTCTGCAATGCTGTGAAAAATGCATTGAACCCCTTTTAAATTACACAGTTTGCCTCAGGTACATACTTCCACCTCAGTTTGAGTTTATATTCTGGTTTCTTTTTGCCACAAGACAGCCCACATTTCAAATGCCTGGGGCCCTTCAACTGAGTTTTTTAAAGATTACATCTGCCAACATGTCTCAGTTAAATACTATTTTAATAAAAAGTTATATGAAATGTGGATGACCTGTGTTCATACTGTGTTATGAGAATGAAAAGTTGTCTTACCACCAAAGTATTATTTTTAAATTACTCTGAATAATGAAATATAAGCAATACTGGAAAGCTGCTTGGCATAATTATGGTTACAATGAAGTTGAATGATATATCTATAAAATTTAGTAATAGCATAGACTCACTTAAAAGGTTTGGAAATGTTAACAGCCTGATTAATCATTTGTCATTTGTACAATGCATACTGGGGCTGATTCACACAATGACGCAGTTTAAATCTAGACTATAAATAAATTAGTTGATCTTAAGTCAATGGGATTTGAATTCAACAAATGTAATTCATTCTTATGCAATTTAAAGAGATACAATGAGTACCGTTTTTATAAACAGCAGGTAATCCTATCAGATACTAAAACCATTTGCATCTTCTTGTAATAACAGACATAGCAGAGCACATGAGTAAGATCTGCTCAGTTTTCAGCTAGTGTGTGAACTGATGTTACCCACGTATGGAGATATTTTTCACATCTCCTTTTTAAGTTGATGAAGCCATCTTAAGATGAAAATTAAGTTTAGCCAATTTAATGTAACAAAAGTGTCTGACAGAAACATTCAAAAATTAGTATTAAATCCAACAAAAGTACAACAGTGATCAGCCTGACCAGCACGTACCAGAAATTGCAAGAAACTAAATAGTGGAACCTATTAAAAATGTTAAAATTAAATCATTACTTTCCACTGTAATTTTGAACCAACTTAAAAGAATTACTGTTTTTATAATATATAAAATCAAGTTAATGTATAGGATGGTTGTAAGCAAACAATTCATGGTTAAATATATAACCTTAGAAGCAGCTTCTCTAAACTATCGCTTATTAATAACTTCTTCTTTTAGTTTCGCTGCAAGGATTCGCTTCTTTAACAATCTTTGTTCCTCTTCTTCTGTCATTCCCTGAAAAGATAAAAATTAAATATTAAATTAACAGTAGTTATGCTGCACTTATGTTTAGTATTCCCATTGACTTCAATGTAGTTTCCACTCATGATAAATTGGATTTTAGCCAAAAGACAAAACCGTTTGTAGAACATGTAAATAAATGTTAGTTTCTATTTGTAAAACAAAAATGAAATTGTAAGAGTTTTTTAGGTTATGTTAAAGCAAGAAAAGCAATAGATAGAATGCTGCTTTACATATTAGATAAGGCAAACTGCAGCTCTGTCCAGGGCAAGAATATGTGATTGTGATTTCAATTCTCATTTGTATTTATACCTAATGTACAAAACCTCTTATAATAGTGTTTTCTGATTTATCTGCTGTGAAAATATGTTATACCTTTAACTGGTACTGCCAATGAACATCAGCAATGTCTTTGTCAATGGGCGAGTAGTAATTTTCAATGTCTTCCTCCCTCAGCTGGCTCAAAGAAGGCTAGGAGACTTATCACTTTCAGACACACTTTTCCTTAACAGGAGAAAAAAAAAATCACCCTGGCTAAGATAGCTCTGTGCCATTGTGGACAGAGTCAGAGGAGCCTTACACCTATCCCTATGTAGTCAAGGCTAGGGGATGACATGTAAAGTGAACGAGTTTCTAAAGCAGCTCAATTTTTTTTTCCTAGGATCACTAGAGAACTTTGACAATGTTTTGGCAATTGCATGAGGTTTAAATCTCTGTGGATCCTCTCTTACCTCTGCACAACACAGCTGAATAGGTGGAATTACTTTCACCAGGAGCAATGCTGGAACTATCCAGGGACTGAATTAACTCTCTCTAGTCACCATCATCCCCATCCATGAGATTTAGCTGTTTTTGCTATCTGCCCTCTCCTGCCTTCAAATAAGTGAACAGGGCCTTTGAATAGATTAACTAATCTGAGGATGTGCATCATAGTCTCAAGAAGATACTTTTACTAAGTATCTTCCTGAGGTTACGATGCACATCCTCAGATTAGGATCAAGCTTTTCAAATGTAGACTGGTCTTTAAAGCAGACAGGTAGTTACAGAGAGGCAAATTAATTCTGTTATCTTTCACCTCTTTAGAAGGTGACAGCTCTTCTTTCTGTTCTATATTTTGTGGTGGAATATTCGTTTTTGATTCTTTCTTCAAAGCCATCAATGCATCTCGTTTCTGCTTTAGATAATCTTCACGCTCTCTCAGCTCTTGTGCTCCAAGTTCTGATAACTTCTATTTGAATTTAAAAATCAGATTTTATATGTAGTTTCTGAAATATATTTTTATTAGATACAATTGCTATAGTCCCAATAACAAATTACAAAACAGAAGAGAAAAATTACAATATTGTTCAGGACTGCTCAAAACCTTCCCACAAATTCCATCTGGGACACAAAACGTGTACTAGCTATTGAAGAAAGCTACTCTATCATGACTTTTCAGCTGAAAATGAGACTTTGAAGGAAAGTGCAAGTTACAGAGAGAAAGGAAAGTATAGTTGCTTTTACCAGGATTCAGTCCAAGCAACTGAAAGGATTTGAAGGAGGGGGGGCGGCACTCATTTTGCAATTCAATCATACATTTCAAACAGAGCAAATTATTTAAGCATATAAAAAGAGCTCTGCAACATCAGGTGATAAGGCCTATATAGACTACTATCATACAGAGGTCAATCAGATGCATTCAGGAAGCTCACAAACAGGACATATTGTTGCTCCTTGGCAACTGATATTTAAAATATAATAATTTTGATCTGAAGAGAAGATGCAGTCATCAAGTTCCACAGTCATTGATAGCCTTGTCTTGTAGGAATATACCTTTTTAAAATTTCTGAAAGGATGACCAACACCACATCTGAAGGCAGTATAGCACTTTTATTAGTCTTGAATCTCCTTGCATAATTTCAATGAATGACCCTGTATTCTAATATTGTAAGAGAAGGAAAAACCAGAGGGATCTATTTTTTTTGGGGGGGGGGCAAATGATGAACAAACAAATGGATCACAGAACAAATTAATCCAGACTTCTCACTCAAGGTACAATGGCCGGGCTTAAACTATCATATTTTGGACGCATTATGTGAAGAGCTAGCTCTCTTAAGAAGTCTATACTACTTGGAAAGGTGGAAAGAAAGAAATGATGACCAGCAGCAAGGTGAATGAACTTAATTACAGCAACATTGGAAGACTGGGGACAGATAATCCTGGAGGAGGCCTATCTATGTGGTCACTAAGAGCAGATACTGACTGGATAGCAGATAATGAATCACTACTTTTTTTGGTGATAAATTTCTGTTTTTTAACTCTTTGTCAGAAATAATTCAGTCTCCATTAAACAAAAAATTCTAATGTTTCCTCTCCTATTACTTCTAAGGTACATTAAAATAAAGCACTTGGACTTATTGAGAGATCCTGTTCCAATTTTTCTTTGTGACCATGATAGGCCATGTAAATCTTTCTTGTTGAGGCACCTGTTACAACTGTTCGAATGCTGAGCAGATGACATAGGGCACTCCACATCTGCTGATGAACTTCCAATTTCCTGGATTTTGATTGATTTATCATATTTATATAGCCATCCATCTCACACAGGGTGACTCTGGGCGGTGTACAACAATTAAAAAGAATAAATACATAAAAACAATTACAAATAAAAAAACTGTAAAAACACACAAAATAGGAGGGGATGAAATTAATAAGGGAGCCATCGCAAAATCTCCTGGGTCCCCTGGGAGCCCCAGGCTTGATCACATAGCCAGGTCTTGAGGAGCTTGTAGAATGTTAAGAGGGATGGAGCTAATCTCACTTCTGGAGGAAGAAGATTCCACAAGGCGGGCGCCATAGCAGAGAAGGCCCACCTCCTGGGACCTGCCAAATGTAATTCTCTGGCAGACAGGACCTGCAGCATGCCTTCTCTGCCAGACATGCTGGGACAGGCAGATGTAATTGGGGAGAGGCGGTCCCTCAGATAACCCGGCCCCATGCCATGAAGGGCTTTAGAGGTCAAAAACAGCACCTTGAATTGGACCCGGAAGCAAACTGGAAACCAGTGCAACTCGTGAAGCAGAGGTGTAATGTGTACCACCCTGGGGGTACACATAACTGCCTGCGCCACTGCATTTTGCACCAGCTGAAGATTCTGGATACTCTTCAAGGGCAGCCCCATGTAGAGCACATTACAGAAATCCAAACAGGAGGTGACTAGGGCATGAGTGACAGTGATTATGTCCCTCTGATCTAGGAATGGGAGCCACTGGCGCACAACACGAAGCTGTGAAAAGGCCTTCCTAGCCATGACTGCCACCTGCTCTTTGAGCAGGAGTCATGAGTCCAGGAGGGCCTACAGACTGCGTACAGGGTCTGTCTGGGGCAGTGCAACCCCATTCAGTACCAAAGAGGGCATATCTCTAGCACCAGAAGACCCCAAAACCCACAGCCACTCAGTCTCGCCAGGGTTCAGTTGAAGCCTGTTGTTCCCCATCCAGATCCTCACAGCCTCCAGGCACTGGGATAAGACATTCACAGCATCATTTAATTCGCCAGGAGCAGAGATGTATAATTGGGTATCATCAGCATACTGATAGCTCACCCCATGGCGACGGATGAGCTTACCCAGTGGCCTCATGTACTGTAGATGTTAAATAGGAGGGGGGAGAGCACTGAACCCTGCAGCACCCCACATAACAGGGACTGAGGGTGGGATCTCTCCTCCCCAACCACCACCGACTGGAATCGGCCCCGGAGGAAGGAGGTGAACCAGCACAACACAGTGCCGCCCAGCCCAATCCTCTGAGCTGATCCAGAAGGATACCATGGTCGATGGTATCAAAAGCCACAGAGAGGTCAAGTAGGGCAAGGGTGGATGTACAACCCCCATCTCGCCCTCACCAGAGATCATCCAAAAGCACGACCAATGCTGTTTCTATCCCATACCCAGGCCTGAATCCCGATTGAAAGGGATCCAGATAATCCGCTTCATCCAAGGTCCTCTGAAGCTGTTGCGCAACCACCTTCTCAATCACCTTCCCAAAAAAGGGGAGGCTAGATACTGGACAAAAATTGTCCAGTATAGTGGGGTCTAGCGATGGCCTCTTTAGGAGGGGGTGAACCAAGACCTCCTTAAGAGGTGAGGGAACAACCCCCTCACTCAAAGATGCATTAACCATTGCTAGAACACACTCACACGATACCCCCTGGGCTGCTTTCACAAGCCAGGAGGGGCATGGATCTAAAGAGCAGGTGGCTGAGCTCACAGCCCCAAGGACCCTGTCCACTTCCATAGCACAAACCTGTCCATTGGAACAGAGCTGAACTCTAGAGCAGAGGTGTCAAATACGTAGCCCCAAGTGCGGCCCAAACTAGATTAAAATGCAATTGGGTAATACTTAACAAAATAAAAATACAGCAAAATATAGATATTAGAATTTTAAAACTAAATAATAATACATTTAGTCACCAATCACAAAAACTCTGGGCTTGCAACTCACAAGGAGCCCTGCACAAGCTCACTGCCTTGGCTTAATTGCAGCAGCCAAGATTGCTTGGCACTGCCCCAGTGTGGGTTGAGCAGGAGCACCGTGTACCAGGAGTTCCCTCTCAGTCTGAGCTGCAGCACACCAAGTGACCTTGCCGCTGCAGTTAAGCTCAGGCAGCGAGCTTGGGCTTTTCCCTGGACAGCAGGCAAGCTGGCAGGCAGGCAGGCAGCCTTGGACCGGCAGCCAACCTGCTCGACCCCAGAGCTTCCAGCACACAAAGGAGCACCTTTCTCCAAAACAGCTGAATTAATATCTCTACTCCCTTCAGAAAAGGTTGAATTTCCCTCCTCCCTCAAAAATAGGTTTAATTTCTCTCTTCTCTCCAAAAGGGGTTTAATTTCTCTTCTTCCCCCAAAACAGATTGAATTAATTTCTCTTCTTCCTCCAAAAAAGCTTTAATATCTGTTGAGTTTCAGACTCCACAAGGTCCATGATCATTGATAACTTTATAAAAAGATCAATTTTTAAATTGATAATAACAGTTGAAGTTTAAATAAGTTCAGAATACATCCAAAGAAGGAAAAAAATGGGGAAAAATGGAAGAGAGGAGGCGATCTGAATGTTCTTTGTATAATGCTTTTTTTTCTTTAATTGTTTTTCTTTCATTATAGTATCAAATTCCCCCCCCCCAAAAAAAGAAATGTGAATGCTTACAAAATATTGATTGTAGTTATCAGTGACTAGTGAGTTTATATTATAATCTGTAAGCATGCATGTATGAAGCCAGTTTGTTATAGTGGTTAAAGTGTCAGACTATAAACCATGAGATGGTGAGTTTAAGTCCTCCCTTGGGCATGAAACCAGTTGGTTCACCTTGGAGCAGTCACTTTTCTCACCCCTAAGAAGAAAAAAATGGCCAAGCACTTTATAATTTAAAGAAATAAAAGCTTATTTTCATGACAGAGGAAGTTTTTCATGTATCTGAATCTCATTCACTACTTAACTACATTGCAGAAATACCATCAGGTCCTGGAACTTTATTCAATTTTAATTTTTTAATTGTTTCTTTGGTTTCATCTTCTATTAGAGGTCACTTAAGAACCTCTTTTTGTTGGTCTGTAAATTTTTAAAGTAGTGTTCCATTTAAACATTCCTCAATTTTTTTTCTGATTCACATTTCTGTTTACTATATAATTTTAAATAATAATTAACAAATTGATGTATCATATCCATTGTAGAAAGGTATTTATTCCCATCACAATTAGAAGTAATAATTCTTTTGTTATGTTTTTTCAGTAATTTCAAAGTATTGCTGTTTAGGAAAATTCAATTTTCAGTAAGTTTCATTATTTGTAAGTGTTTCAAATTATTCAATATGTCTTCATGGTTTTGCATGGCTTTCTTTCTACAGGTAGTCCTCAGGTTACAATGGCAATTGGGACTGGAATTCCTGTCACTAAGCAATGCAGTCGTAAACTGCAACGTCACAGCAGTCCCATTTGCCATCATAACCCTAGGAACACACGTGTCCTTAAGTGAGAAGACGCGGGAGTCCAGACAAGCAAGCCGGCAGGTGCTCGGGTGCCACAGGGGGTCAGGAGTACTGCAGGCAGGCACTCTGGAGCACAGGTGGGTGTGCAGGTGCCACAGGCAAGTGCTATGGAGCATATGTGGGTGCACAGGCAGCAAGAGGTTGCCACAGGCAGGTGCTATGGAGTATAGGCAGGTGCACAGGTGCCACGGAGGGTCCGCGGGCAGGCGTTATGGAATGCATGCAGGTGCGTGGCTGCCACAGGCAGGTGCTACAGAGCATGGGCCGACAAAAAAGTGGTGGGAGAGGGAGCAACTTCCAACTTCTGTCAGCCTCCTACTTGTGGGAAGCTGGCAGGGAACACTGGAAATCATGGTCACGTGACCACAGGTTACTGTGACGTCGGAATTAGAATGAATACAGGAAAGCTCAACACGTGTAAGATGAAATGAAATGTCTAAAAATTGACATCTTAAGCATCAGTGAATTGAGATGGATTGGGATTGGACACTTTCAGTCAGAAGGTCACACTTTTTATTACTCAGGACATAAAAAATAAAGAAGGAACAGCATTGCTTTTATAGTTAGGAAGGAAGAACAGTACTATGCAATCAACGACCGAATAATATCGATTAGACTTCATGGACAGCCCTTTAATATGATGATCATTCAAGTTTATGCTCCAACCACTGATGCAAAAGAAGAGGAGGTTGAGGAGTTTTATGATCAAGTTCAATTTGAAATTGTCAGAAACATGCAAGCAAGATACAAGCAAAATGTGCTGCTTGTGACTGGAGACTAGAATGCCGAAGTTGGAATTCCTAAATTGGCTTAGGAAACTGAAATAAAGCAGGAGACCAACTTATTAATTTCTGCCACTCCAATGATTTCTTCATAGCTAACACTGTCTTCAAACAACCAAAATGATGCCTCTATACATGGGCATCAACAGATGGAGTATATAGAAATCAAATCAAATTATTTCAAAAAGGAGGTGAAAGAGCTCAATTACAGCATTAAAGACATGGCCAGATGCTGACTGTGGAACAGATCACAAACAGCTCATGTGCAATTTCCAAGTTAAGATAAAGAAGAAGAAGAAAGCCAGTCAGTTTCCACAATATGATCTTGAACATATACCCACCATTTTCAAAGAGAATATCAGGAATTGCTTTGTAGTCCTGAACCTCACTGATAGAGAACCAGAGGAATTATGGAATGAACTTAATGAAATTGTTAAGGATGAATGTGAAAAGAAGCTGCCAAAAATGAAGAAAGAGAAGAAAGCAAACTGGATATCAGAACAAATCGTGGAAATTGCCAAGAAGAGAAGAGAAGCCAAAGTCAAGAAAGACAAAAATCTCAGAAAAGAACTTAACAAAGGGTTTCAGAGAGCTATTAGAAAAGACAAGAAGCAGTATTACAACAACTTCTGTAAAGACATAGAAGATGGAAACAGACATGGAAAAACAAGGGAAGTGTTTCAAAAGATCTCTGAACTCAGAAGAAAGTTCCATCCTTATATTGGTATGCTAAAGGATGCCAGTGGACAGATAGTAACTGATTCAAAAGAGATCAAATGAAGATGGAAGGAGTATACTGAAACACTGTATAGTAGAGATGTCAACATCCAAGATACCTCAGAAGATATTCCCTACTTACAAGAACCTCTAAAACACCAAGCTCTCCCTGGAACCTTCCAGAGTCCTTAAGTTGAGTAGGGCAGGCTGATCTAATGAGCCCTATCTCCTTGCAGGTTGGGATGACACCAAAGCAATCAGAGAATGATCTGACCATGACAGAAGTTCGTCCTCTGCTGTTCCCTACCACTGAAATTCATTACCTTTTGCTACCTAACTGGATCCTGTCATGAATACATTTAAATATCTGACAAAACTGCTCTTGCTGCTTTAACAATAACTGATCTTGCACATCAATTTTTGCCTTTAACGTTCCTTCCCTTGTGGCCTGTTTTAGTCTGTAAGCTACAAGGGAGGCTTTGTATTATTCTATATGCACAACATAACACAACACAGAACTCTTATATGTGGTCCTAGAATAATATTCCTATGCATCAAATTATTGTCATTATACCTATGACAAAACATTGCAAAGTAATTCATATTTATACGCTGGCTACAAAATATTAGTTCGATAATATTTTAAATAAAGTGAGCATTCAGCTTACACGTCCTTCTAGCCCTCCTTGCTTTGTTACATATTCAGAGCCATCCCCAATTGCTTTCTTGCGAATATCTTCCTTCAGTTTGACAGAGGAACGTTCCCGAATAGATATATCTTTCTGTTTTGCTTCTGGACCTAAATTTATATTGAAATAAATGCATATAATCATATGTTAACCATATAAGAACATATTAATAACCTGCTAACTTGAACAGTTAAAACCAAAGTTTTTAAATTTAATGTTTCGCTTCTTAAAATAATTGCCAACTTTGTGTAACAGGCAAAGTGGTTCACAATTAAAATTTGATGGAGATGAAGTGTGCTCGGCCACTGTACAAGGAAAGCCACTATTTTCTTTCTCCATTTTACAAGATATGAAAACTAAATGCATCATAAATCTATAGCAGAACTGGGATTCAATATCAATTCATTCAGATCCCAAACCAAAAAACAGCTCTTTGGCAATTTGATCCCAGCATCTAGAGCTGCAAATTTTAAATAACAGAAATACTAACTACAAACCTGAAATAAATACATTTAGTGAACAAATTAAATGTTGGGCGGAGAGAAATTTAATAACTAACTAACTTCCAGGTAATGCTGTATAAGACAATGAATGTGTACTGCCATTTCCCTATTCACTACATTTCATTATTCACTGTCTCTCACAGCATTTCATTTCACCAATACAAAACAGCTGTGAAAAACTACACTGTATGAAATAAATTTAATTTCACAAGAAGTTAAGAATCTAATGTAACATGAGACTCTGGAATAATCTCTGTGAAAAAGTGATGGCAACACTGAAATAAATGTTTGGCAATTGCAATACATGGGAGGAAAGTATAATTCCCAACTACTCTGAATTTTTTCAGTGCTGCCATCATTATTTTAGAATAGTATATTTACAACAGTTATCAATTTCCTGAAAAATTAAATGTATTAATTCCAGATCTGTAGTGAATGTTCCCATCACTACATCCTGTAGTGTATTGTTGCTATCTTCTTTTTCCTGTTTTTTTTTCCTGACTGTGGCATCCAATTAGTATAACCAATGGCCATGTGTTCAGTAGCAAAAACATATCTTCTTAAATTTATCTTGGAATAAATGAAAATATGGATTTTGTTTGTGATGGAGATCTGACCAATTACTATAGCGGATTTCAAATACCCACCCGACAAAGTTTGGCATCAAGTTAGTTGAAGCATGAAATTTCTTTCCCTCAACAGAAATATGAATAAATACCCTGAGTACCTTTAATATGAGAGCCAGTTAGTAGTTAAAGACACTAGACTAGGTACTGGGAGACTGTGAGTTCATCCTGCATTAGGCCTGAAGCCATCTGGGTGATTTTGGGCCAGTCACTCTCTCTCAGCATAAGGAAGAAGGCAATGACTAACCACTTCCAAAAATGTTGCCAAGAAAACCACATGAACTTGTCCAGAGAGTCAACAGGAGTCAAACTGGACTTGAAGGCACACACACACACACAAAATTTAATATACATATGGAAAATACCTGTAAATAATTATACCTGACAATAATTTTGTAGAGTACTCAAAAGACTCTTTAGCTCCTGCACTTTCATTGAGATGTCCTGGAGATTTGTGTGCAACATCAGATAATTTCAATTTATCATGTGCCTATATGTTTAAGAAAAAATAGTAAGACAATCAATTTCAATATTACAAAAGTGTCAAATACAGTAGAAATCAAGATGTCATAAAACATATTTAATAAGGGTTGCTTAAACCTAATTACTATCTTCACAATTAAAACAGGTAACAGGACCTAATAATAATTAAAATATTAAGATTTGAGTTCTTCTACAGTTAAATAATTTATAAGGACTTTGCAAGATTTTCTTTCATCCATTATTTTGTGTACTTTTCTTATAAATTAAACAGCATGTTTCTTACAAAGTTATAGTTCACAAATAAAATATTGCTTCTCATTAAAAAACAAAAACCACCAAAGCCTTTTTTCCACAGTAAAGTACTCAGCGACCATCTTAGCACAGCAAACTTAAGTATAAAGGGAGCGGCGTATATTGTACAAATTTCCATCTCGATCAACTTATCCAACAAGGTAGGTTGGGTAAACAGACCCAGAGCAATATACAGGCATAGGCTTTCACAGCTGGCATCAATGAAGCAGTGATGAGTTCCAGGCTGAATGGCCGTGATCTAGTTTTGTGCTAATGTTTTGCCAGCAGCTGTGGCTGGCATCTTCTGAGGCAGAGTGAGCTGCTTTGTGGCGCACTTCTCGGCAGCTTGCAGGCAACTGCTGAGTATTGAAAAAATGGCAGCTCCATGATTGATTGTGTCATGAGGAGTCATGTGCTACTACCGCACAGAGGTAAATCAATTAACTGGAAGAGCCTCTGATTTGGTTAACCATATTGTGCATCAATTACAACACCAAATATCAGCCTTTTGGATTGCCAGGGATAAAAATGTCAGCTTGTACTATTTTCCTAGTATCATCAAAAGTCAACATACACTAGTCATAACCATGCCAAAATAAACAATGCATAAAAGAAATCAACAGTACCAAAAAAATACAGGTAGACCTTGCCTAATGACCACAATTGGGACTGGAACTTCCATTGCCAAGCGATGTGGTTGTTAAGCAAAACATCACGTGCCTGCATTGCTTAGCGACCGCAATCCTGGCAGTCCTCATTAAGTGAATGCCCCAGTTGTTAGGCGAGGTGACTTCCTGCTGGCTTTCCACAATCAAGTCAGTGGGGAAGTCAGCAGGAAGTTGCAAGCCCCAGGCACTGCCAGGTGGGGGAGGGAGAGAGGGGGTGCATGGCGGTGCGTGGGAGGCTCAGGCACGCGAGGGCCTCAAAACCATTTGAATTTCCTTCTGAAGCCTCTCCATTGTGGGGCTGAAAACCCTCCATTGCTGAATATCCTGCTTGGATTTTGGCACAGACTTTTTTCAGGCAGCCCCCAAAGCTCCATGCTCTAAACTAAAGCTCTGGGGCCTTTAGCATGTGGAACTTTGGGAGCTGCCTGAAAAAGCTTTGTGCTGAAATCCAAGCAGGATTTTCAGCCATGGAGGATTTTCATCCCCAGAGTGAGAGGCTTCTGGGGCCGAAAATCCTGCTAGGATTTCAGCACAACGCTTTTTCAGGCAGCCCCCAGAGATGAGACGGAGTCCCCTCAGAAGGCAGCAGCAGCTTGCGACCTTCCTTGCCAGCTTCCCCACTGACTTTCTGGGGAAGCCAGCAGGGAAGACTGCAAATGGTCATCACATGATCATGGGGCGCTTGGCAACCAGTCGTAAGGGCAAAATGATTACCAAGGGCCCAGATCACCTTAACTTTGGATATAGATCATAAGTCCCTTCATTCAGCATTGTCATAACTTTGAACAGTCACTGAACAAATGGTCATTAAGCGAGGACTACTTGTATTATGTCAATTAACAGGAATACGTTGGTCATTTTATTCAATCAACAATGAGAAGTAGATGTATTTTACTGAAGACTGAATTTATTAAAGAGAATAATTGTATAATTGCAACCACTTGGGGTTTTGTTGAATTGATCTTCCAATATACCTCATTAGTTCTTTTCCTTTCTTGCTCTAGATCATATTCTTCCTTAGATTTCCTGCAAAGAGAAACAAGGCAACAGGAAATAGTTTAATATATTTAGTGCCTTACCATTCTATAATAGTCAGTATGACTGTGGCAGTTTACAATTAATGTAAATAAATAAACCTAAAACAAGCAAATGCAAAACAGAAGATAAAAAGAAAATGACAAGACAAACAAGAACAAATTTACTTTTTTGTATGTAGCAGTACCACTCTCTACTAAAATGTGTCCTAAAAAAGTTTATAACCAGCACAACACTAACATACAAAATTAAACCTAACACAATGAAACAGAAAGTAATACAATACAGTTCAAAAGAACTGGGAACAAAAAATTAAGAGAGCAAAGACCTCATGAAAAAAGTGAATTCTGAGGCTGGAGTTAGAAAGAGAAGTGAGATGGCACTATGAATATTAGTGTCAATCCAGCTAACACAATTCCTGACCACTGTCTCTGCTACTTGGGCTTAGGGGAGCACAGCAAAAGTATTTTGAGGATGCCAAATTGCCTACCTGAGTGCACATTTAGAGAAGTAACTAAATAACTCATAGAAGCAAAAATATTATTTAATAACATTCTTGCTCTCTTTTACTGTAATATTTAAGGTGCTATACTGAGACCAAGGAAGACCCAAGTTCAAGTCTCCATTCAGCTATGGATATCACTGGATTATTTTGAGCCAGTCACTCTCTCATCCCAATCTACATCACAGGTTTGTGGATTTGAGAATAAAATAAGAGATCCCTATATGCACTGCAGAGTTCCTTGAAGAAAAAAACCCTTGAACTAAGTTTGTTTCTGGTGACTATGAAGTAGTTTACCTTTACCTTCTTCCAATATATTGGGTTTTTAAAAATTTCCCAGTCTAGGCTAGAACCCTGGGATTTCTGGATGTTCTCTAATCTAAGTACTAATCAGATTTGATTCTGCTTAGGTTTTTAGGGTAAACAAAAGTAGGCTAAATGATGCCATCTATAAAAGCTCCCAGAAGAAAGGTCACAAACAAAATAAAGAATAAAATTAATTATAATAGATGTGAAACTTCCAATCTCAACTTCTCAAAAGGTAAGACTCATTTATTATTTAAAATATTTTATCTTAATTTTCTACTTAAATTCAAACTGTCTTTACTTAAGTTATATTTACTCAAGTAAGCATATAAAGTTGTAAGCAACCAAACTTACAGCCAGAAATATAACCCTAAATCTTTCAAGCCAAGAAATCACCAAGCAATTCAATGAGAGACAATGTTCAAAACAAACTTAATGAGCAGACCAATATCTAAGGTTTCTGCACGGTTTCTGTCATTTTTTTTCTCATTTACTGACTGAGCAAAATGGAATCAAACTGCCCAGAAAAGAAAGAAAGCCACTTTAAGTTCACTAATTTCTATCAATGCACTTCTGGATCTAAGCTTACAGACACTTGAAGACCTTGCACTAAAATAATATATAGGTAGTTCCCATTTAGCAACTGCCTCGTTAAGTAACCTTCACAAATACAACGATAATAAACAGTAATAAAAAACGATATCCTGACCAATGGACACACTCCCAAATTTCTGCGCGTGACAACAGTGCACACAGGGATGAGAGTAACGCTAGCATTGCTACACAAGGGAACTTTATCTAAATAAAGTTCGCAGCGTCTCTCTCTCTCTCTCTCTCTCTCTCTCTGTCACATGGTTCACTTAGCAACATTGCTTAGCAACCATTTCAACAGAACCAAATGCAGTTGCTGAATGAGGACCACCTGTAATGATAATTTCTAAAACAAAGGTTTAAGGAGAAATTTAACATTTCCTAATGCCCTTCAGTAAACATATAACAACTATTTTCTTATGTACCATGCTAAAAAAGGTATCTCAAACTTTCCAAATATTTAATCATATATCTATCATTTAATACAGAATAGAATATTTTGTTCTCAGTCACTATGATGCAAAACACTGTTCAAGTGCAAATTAGGTGGATCTTGTGGCAATCAAGATTTATTTTAAGAGGCTATACCCAAGTAAGTGATAGAAAGCAAGAAGAAAGCTTTTTTTTTAACCTAAGAACCTCTCTTAGTATTTTCATTTCTTCTTCTTCAGTTTCAGTATATGCATCAGACCCATCAGTCAAACAGTCAGGCAGCACACCTATTTTATGAAAAAAAAAAAAAAAGAGTGAAAGAGGTCAAAAGGTGATTAATGACAAACTATTCCATTAATTATCAAAGTCCAGAAATTTATTTAAAACTATTAATAAGTTAATAATAAATTGTGTTCAAAAATACAGTGGAGCAAAAAAGTATTTAGTCAGCCACCAATTGTGCAAGTTCTCCCACTTAAAAAGATGAGAGAGGCCTGTAATTTTCATCATAGGTATACCTCAACTATGAGAGACAATACCTGTAAGTTTCATCATAGGTATACCTCAACTATGAGAGACAATACCTGTAAGTTTCATCATAGGTATACCTCAACTATGAGAGACAATACCTGTAAGTTTCATCATAGGTATACCTCAACTATGAGAGACAATACCTGTAAGTTTCATCATAGGTATACCTCAACTATGAGAGACAATACCTGTAAGTTTCATCATAGGTATACCTCAACTATGAGAGACAATACCTGTAAGTTTCATCATAGGTATACCTCAACTATGAGAGACAATACCTGTAAGTTTCATCATAGGTATACCTCAACTATGAGAGACAATACCTGTAAGTTTCATCATAGGTATACCTCAACTATGAGAGACAATACCTGTAAGTTTCATCATAGGTATACCTCAACTATGAGAGACAATACCTGTAAGTTTCATCATAGGTATACCTCAACTATGAGAGACAATACCTGTAAGTTTCATCATAGGTATACCTCAACTATGAGAGACAATACCTGTAAGTTTCATCATAGGTATACCTCAACTATGAGAGACAATATCTGGATTTTTTTCCCCATATTGTCTCTCATAGTTGAGGTATACCTATGATGAAAATTACAGGCCTCTCTCATCTTTTTAAGTGGGAGAACTTGCACAATTGGTGGCTGACTAAATACTTTTTTGCCCCACTGTATAGCATTACCTAATTTATTCATGTTATGATTAGCAAACTGGGTTATCATCAAAACTTGTTTTCTTAATGAAACATGTATTTCTCTTTACACATGGCAACTTAATTACAATGAGACTTATTAAGGGGACAGTTAAGTTGCATATGTGCTGATTTTAGTATGAAGTAAAATACTGCAAGAGGAAATGTAAATATGCTTTGATTTTAGAATGATTACTATTAGATGTACATGCCATTGCAACAGCCTTTATAGAGACATGAAAATATGTTTGGCTATTAGTTAAATGTTTTGGGGTTTTTTTGCTTAGAAACTATTTGAGCCTATACATTTTGTATGTTAATGAAATGCTTGAGTTCTTTATGTTTCTTTTAATAAAATCATTTTTTTCAGATTGATATTAGATCAGTTCCTTCATACATGGGAAACTGGGTAAGCATAGTAAATAATCGCTGCCAAGATAGCTTAGAAGCAGTAGTATACTTCAGACTAACTATGCAAGCAGTAGCAATGGGTGATAAAATAAGAGACAACTAGTAAGATACTAGCTTAATCTTCTGATTGAGGAAACCTTTCAGCCTATCTCCTTCATCCTGATTGCATACTGCCTTTTCTCTTTACTTTCTCAGTCTCCCATTGCCTTTCTTAATTCCTTTCATGTGTGCCCCCTTTGCCCTGTATGTCTGGTCATTTAATGACTCTTTTTATCTTCCCTTGATCATTACTGATTTTCTTGGTCTGACCTGGCCATATGTCCAGGTTTCAGGGAATCCACTTAAACGCATGTTCCAGCTAATCATAGCAAATGAATTTTTAAAAATTATCTTACCATTTCTTTCTTGAATTATTCTAATAGCCTGCAACTGCATTTCAATGTTCTTCTGGACCATCATTTCTTTAAACAATCTGAAATCTTCTGCTGCCAGTACTGGCTGCAAAATGGCCTGCAAAGAATTAAAAGTGTTTTACCTTACAGTGCCAACAAATTCAAAATTAAACAATTCAAACCTTCCTTATGACAATACTCAAAATGTTAGGAAAATACATTAAAGTCTCAGTTATGGTAGACATAAAGCCAAAAGCAATGTAGCTTTAAGACTGCACACCTATATTCACTGACCTGGGAGTAATCTGAGTACTAGCTTTCTTGTTTGGAAGAGGTGTATCCAAAATGGAAAGTTTAGAATCTCTATCAGGCACAGAGGAGATGGATACAGAAGCAGTGCTAACTCGTGGCTCTGATTAGCCTCTACATGACTGGGTGCTTCAGTCTCCCTTGCAAGACCACAATGTGATCCTACCACATTTGATCTCAGCAACAGCAGCCTTATCCTGCATACCACAACCTCTTCAGCAGATGACATGAGAGACAGCACTTGAACTAGCCAACCTAACCCTGCCCACCACTTCTGCTAGCCTTCCCATGGGCACAGAGGCTCTCTCTTTTGTGGAACTGCAAAATGCCTTCCACCCTACTATGAAACAGCAGTAGGAAGTAGTCCAACATAGCCCTCCTGGCAGGGCTATCTGTAGAAAACTGAATACTCTAAATCTACAATCCAGATCCGATTTGACCAAATGTCCCCTCAGTCATCAAACAAATTCATGGATGCTAGTGATCACAAAAATCACTGTTTCCCACTTCCCCTGGAGACTTTTGTTCCTACTGTAACAAAAAAGGACATTGGAAAAATTAATGTTCCAAATTGGGCATTCAGTAGCAGGTCCTGTTCTGGAAGTCACTGAGCAATCTACAAGCAACTCCCAATTCATTAGCTGATTGCAAGACACATCCATTGAAACTGAGGAAAATCTCATATCATCTCATCTCAATTCTTCCATAAGAACAACCAGGGTCCCAATTCTGCTAGCAGTCCATGTGTATTTCTTTCTGTGGACCAACCTGATCCTTTTGTCTGTGTCTGGCCAGAATGTTAAGAGCCACTTAATAATGCATAAATTCCATTATCTTCAATGTGTAATTTTAAATCACTTGTGCCTAAATGTGAGGTTTATAATAACATTATTCATATCCATTAACATAGTCCTATAATTCTAAATTTGTAAGGTACAGTCTTATAAATAAGGGGTAAGAAACATACAACCCCCAACCACTCCCTGTAGTCCCCAAAGTGCCCCACGAGATCATAGCCCAATTTCCTGCTATAAAAATAAAAATAAAACAGCAGTAAAAAAACAGGAGGTTACCTGAGGGACCGTCTCATACCCATTACATCAAGCTGTCCCACCCAGTCAGGCAGAGAGGGCATGTTGTGGACCCTGTCAGTGAGAGAATGTCAGCTGGTGGGGCCCAAGAGGAGACCCTTCTCTGCTGCTGCCCCTGCCCTTTGGAATATTCTCCCCCCAGAGATGCGGTGGACCACTACCCTTCCAGCTTTCTGGAAAGGATTAAAGACCTGGCTCTGCCAGCTCGCATGGAGCAATAGGAGCTCTAATCGTCCATGGGGGTAGTTAGCACCTTGATGACGCTCTCTGAGTTATTCACCAATTCTCCATCTTTCTTGGAATTTATTTATTATTAAGATTGTTTTTATATTGCATTTTAATTGATTTTATCTCTGTTGTAAACTGCCCAGAGTTGTTTCAATGAGATGGATGGCGACAAATTTGATAGACAGACAGATAGACAGACATACAGAATACGTACATTAAATCCCAAACAAACAAACTGAGGGAAAGGGGCAAAAATGTTCATCTCCATCTGTTCCAATGACTTGCAGGCCTCATCAGTCAAAAATAGTTTTTAAAAAGTACAATGCCAGTCACAAAAAGGTTGCCCATTGCTATCTTAAATGGGAAATGCATTTTAACTTTGTTAAAAGGTTTACCTGGGAGGTTCGAGTTTTAGCAAGAGGAGACATACAAGCTTCTTGGAATTTGTCTTCATTAATTCCAACTTCTTTAAGATAACTGTCTAACAACTTTTCAACCTACCAAAAAAAACCCCACAACAGACAATATTTTTATTCATCTTTTACCAAAGAAATGGGATATAAATTACCTTAAATGAAGAAATGCAGTAGTTGTGGCTTCTGTTCAAAATACAATGACATCAGAATCACAAAAGTATAAATCTAGAGATTAAGATCTAAAATCACATAAATGGCTTATATTTATTTGTGCATGAATGACCTCCCACAAAAGGATTTCCTCTGTTTCTCCTTCATCTCCCAAATTTGCTCTGAAATACTCCTAAATCCCTAAGATCAGTATTTTTATATTTTGTACATGTTTTAATATTATGTGGGGGTTTTTTCTGGTTATTGTTTGCTTTGGTGCTGCATGCCACACAGAGTCACACTGTTTGAGTTGAGCGGCCTTATAACTCTAGTTAATTTATAAAATAAATTAAAAAATAAAACCAGTAGTTATAGGGGAGAGATGTTGCTCCAATGTGGAATATAGCAGGGCTCAGATGTTTCTTCCATTTAATATCCAAAAGAAACTACTAGGAGTGGTGTGGGGCAGGGTGAGGTATCAGCAGTACACTGATGATAGTCAATTGTACATCATCACCTAGGCAGGGCTGGAGATGCTGTGGAAGTCTTGAATCAATGAACCAATGTCTGGAGCTGTAAGGGACTGGATGAGGAGAAACAACCTGAGATTAAACCCTAGCAAAACTGAAGACTGGTTCATCTGTTAACATTTTGGCTAACTAGAAACATCAGTCCTAATGGCTGTTGTATGGGAAGTGTTCCCCTTAAAAGAGCTGCTCCATGACTTGTGAGTCCTTCTGAATATTCCAATAGAACTGAGAAGCTGTCATCCACAAATTTTTCTATAAATACCATCGAAGACTGATTCTATTAGCATTAACAGGAATATTAAAAACTGTTTCTGTAACAGACCATGTATATGGCATATTTTATCTCAAATATCTTTATTCCCCTTCAACACCCCATCCACGTTCTTAGTTCATACTTTATCTCTGTTTTTAAGTTGATTAATCCTTTTTTCTAAGAGCTGGTAATTATGATTTTGAACTCCATCATGCCATCAATGTTCAATGATGTTTACTAAAAGCAGCAGGGTAGATCCCTAACCAGCTTACAGTTTTAAATTCAGCAAGGGAGAAGAGAATGAAAATAATGACAAGGAGGAATCCGCAATTATTTCAGTTATATTTGCTTGGGCTTAGTTAAAGAGTATGAAAGCTAGAAGTGCTGTACCAAAAGGCTTCATGGGAAAGGTGATGTTATTGTCTTTTCGTTCCTTGAGAAAGAGAGGGGCAGTTTGGAAAACACTGCAAACTCAGTACATCTATATATTCTTCCATTATCTGGAAAACAGATAGCTAGAATGAAGAATGCTATGTCCTAGCAAACTCAGAGATAAATAGGTCATAAAATTGAAAGTATTCAGTTTTCAAGGTTCATGTAATATAACCTTTTCTCTTTTAATAAACCTTCTTAGAGAAGCATGTGAGAATCATTTTGGGGTACTTGTTACTCAGTTGTCAATGACTGACTAAAGACAAGTTGCAACTTATATTTTGTTAGGACTGTGCAGCAATCCAGACTCAAAAGGGAAAAGATGGACTCAGATTATATGTGAGTCTGCACATCACACATATAACACCTCTTCAATGAAATGCATATTTTCTTGGAATACACAAGTACTAATCAATTACATAAATAAATATAAATCATTGGTTACCTAATTTACCAAACCATGTAACTGCATTTTATAATGCACTCAAAGAGATACACAACAGGTTTCTGCTTTAATGTTATATTAAATTTTTAAAGGCTAAGGAATCTAAGGTTGCTCAGATCAAAGAGAACAGTACAAGGGATACTATTGTATACTAGCATGTGAAGGTTAGGAAAAAGTAAAACTTTACTACTTACCAAAGCTTTATATTCCTGATGAATTTCAGTGTAGGATAACTTGCTTTCTTCCTCATCATCAAAAACTGAAAAAGTAACATTTCATGTTTCTTTACAATATGGAAACTAAACAAAAAATAGTTTCATCAAGTAATACCTTAAAATTGCATTTTGTGCACAGCAAAATTTATCTGAGCTAAAATATTTCATCACACACAAACTTAGAAAGCCCCACTTACATCCTTTTTGTTTGTTTTTTGTTTTTGTGCCTTTGAGTAAGTGTTGGCTCCTGGCAACTGCCTAGACTACTCCCTGCAGTTTTCTTGCATTAACTACTACACCAAACTGGCTCTACATCCTCTTTGTCCTGTACCTCTAATACTTTTTCCTTTAGGAAGCTGCAAGAAAGTGTTTGGAAGATCTGACAGCTCATCTGAGCCAAAGTACTCTATAATCTTGACCTCAATGAACAAGTACCAGAGCAGCTTCAGTGTTCTAGATTATTTTAGGACTTTTGGTTTGAGAATTATGAACAACAGGTTCCTGGACCAATCAAAAATAATCACCAAACAATTTGCAGAAAAAAATTGCTCACTGTGCATTAGCTGCCTGTATGTGTTATCTCTTACCCCATTTTTGTATAAAATTCTGCTTAATGACATAGAAAACTATTGATACATGGGATACATGGGAGGGGGAATCACTTTCAATTCTACTGAGAAAGGTCTATCAATGCACTAAACAAAAAACATTTTGTATTTTTTTAACCCATTCTTCAAAATACTAAGAAGTCAAGAGATATACTGCATTAAAGAAACAATACACACACGTATTTCCTGACATCTGTTCAACCTGTCAATATATTTTAGTATTATTACTATTTGCTATTAAATTTGTATACCACCAAATAATTCTAATTCCCAGCAGCTTGCAACAAAATAAAATACAGCAAAAACACCCATGGTAAGAAAAACAAAAACAACCTCCATGATAAAAAGGGGGAAATAACACTTAAAATTTATTCCACTACCCCCATAGCACCAGAGCCCAAAATAACTGCATTTTTTACTTCTGAGATCCTCAATTTCTCTTCTTAAACGTTATAAACAAGATTAGCATAGCACTGTATCAAATGAAATATATGACATTATGGAGAGCATCACTTTCTCCATGCAGCAGAGCACCTTAACTTCAACAATAAATCTTCATTTAGGGGTCATAATTCTATCCATAATGGAAAAATAAACATCCACCTGGTTAGTGGACTCACTGAAATCAAGGGGATACTGAAATATTGACCTTCGGCTGAATCATGCCCAACAGCCACTCCCATTCCTTAACTGTGCTTCTGACCTACCGTAATGATGGTGATGATAATGATAATAATCCACAACGCATTAAACGCAACTACACGCTACAGAGGAATAAGGAAAACCACCACCCGAGGAGACCCATTCGGACACGGCCACCACTATGTTGGCGGAATCTCCACACGCCCACAACAGCCCTCTCACCTTCGCACTTGTGCTCCACGAACTCCAGAATAGGAATAGACCAAGCGGGGCTGCGGAGAAAGCCGGCAATGCTATCTACCACCCACTCCACTTCAGCCTCAACCTCTGCCTGCCCCTCGGTCGCCATCACATTTCCCCTCCCCTTTCTCCACGCCCTCAAAAATACGAGCTCACGCGCGCGCGTGCGCCGGAGAAAAAGAAGATGACAGCAAGCCCGCGGCGACGGTTGGCCTTCGATTTGCCGTCACTATGACAATCGTCGTCACTGAGAGGGGGGAAAGCTCTGAATAAACAAACTCACGCGAGAGAAAGCGCGAAGGCGTGCCCACCTCAATGAGCATGCGCCGAGGGGGCGTTATTCTCTTCCTCTCGCTATCCCGTTCTGTCTCTCGTGAGAGCTGAACGGTAGGAAGTTGTAGCGAGTGAAAATTTCTTTAGCTACCATTTGAGGCACGCGCGATTCATAGAGAGGCTAGCTGTGATGTTGCCTTTTCTCAAGATTGCTCTAATTTGCATTCCTCCGGTCCTTCAAATGGCAGAAAGTCATACAGACGTAAATTACGCTGCCTGGACAGATGAAATCCGTGCTGCCTCACGGAGAAGCTGGGGACTGGACTTTACAGTTTAGTGTGGAACAATTCAAAGGTAGTGATTGGTGGATTCCCCTTTCCTTTCTCATCTATTGCCTGCTGATAGGGCAAACAGTCATCAATCACTGTCCTTAATGTGCGGTGGGTAGGTGGGTGCGCAACTCTGGGCAATCGGGGTGGAAACTTTAGCAGACTTTCAAGTTGCTTGAAGGATAGGCTAGTGGCATGGAGATATTTTCTGCTGCTAATATGTTACATGGGCTATCTCTGAACAGAGGTGTAGTGCTCTTCTGGAACACCCCTAAACTTGTGTCCTCCCAAAATTGCCTGGCTGAACATAGCATGGAGGGATGTGGGCTGAAGCATGAGGGAGTTCTCCCAGGAGCTCTCTCCAATTTCATCCTATGGTTCTTCACTGCATGTGTGACTTGTTAGCCAGGCTACTTTTGGACATAGATTTAGCACTGTTATGGAAGAGTGCTGGACTGGAAGACCTCCAAGATCCCTTCCAGCCCTGTGATTCCATGAGTACCTGTGTGAGATGGAATGTAAACCTGGCCTGGGAAGGGACAAGGATGAACAACCAGTAAAAGAGGAAGAGGCACAGAAATATTACTCAGTCCTGGGAAAGAAGAAATCAGTACAGCCCCCACCCCAGCCTCAAAATAACCTGATCTTGTTTTGTTTGGTATATGATGTAGTAGAGAGAAATACTGACAGGCTTTCAAGATTCTGTTTTAATACCCTAACAACCATAAACAGCATTCTTAAAACAGTACAGTGGTACCTCGGTTCACAAACTTAATTCGTTCCACGATTCTGGTCGCAAACCGAATT